TTCAACCTGAACTTGAACTTCAGCCCCACATATGTTTTTAACATGTGTTTCTATGCTTTCTCTCGTAGTGACCTTCTTCAGTCGCCAGACATGTAAATATTTTTTAACGTTCAGTACCTTGTATACCCGATAGACTCGTGTTACTTCCTCTTTTTACCTCACTATTAGGATACCTATTGCTTTTTCTTTGTAGGTATCTTGAAAATAAATTATAATATTTTGCATGCAGGTATATAATAAAGACAGTCTTGTCTCAACTCCCGTGTTTGATTGCCGCATCCTAACAATACAAAATTAACATGGCGCAGTCGGTACACAAATTTTACAAATAATATAATATATAAGTACTTTCCATTGAATTGGATGAACTGTAAAAGTGAGAGTGAATTTTAGTAAGAAGTTGAAGATTCTAACGTAACTGCAATTGAATCAATCGTCCGGACAATGGAATCTGTATTACAACCACCGCCGCCTTTTATTTTCGAAAATAATTTAGTAAATGTGACTTCGGGAAATTTATGCAAAGAATGGGAAAAATGGAAAAAAGCATTCTTGATATATTACGAGGCATGTGAACTAAAAAAAAAAGGATGAAAAAGTACAAATTAACATTTTATTACATATTATCGGAAACAAATGTCAGGAAGTGTACGAACAACTATTATTGGAAAATGATAAAAAAGGAATTTAAATCGATTAATGAAGTATTTTTGAAATTTGATACATTTTTTCTTCCACAAAAGAATGTGACGATGACACGACACATATTTTTCACTCGTGATCAACGGGAGATGGAGACAACCGAGCAATATGTTTTCGAATTAAACAAGATGGCGGCAAGATGCGAATTTAAAGATTTATGTCAAGATTTGGTACGAGATAGACTCATATGTGGTATACGAGATGGATGTATGAGAGAAAGGCTGTTAAGGGAGCCTGACTTATCGTTAAAGAAAGCAGTGGAAATTTGCAATGTAGCCGAAATGTCGCGAGCCCAGGCCAGCAATATAAAGTCAGAGAAGTCGGTCCACCACGTGCATGAAATAAAACTTAATTCCGAGCAAGATGAACGTGACGCAGAAATTAATTGGGTGAACCGTCAACGTGTCACGCCCCCGCACCACCAGCGCCAGCAGCGAGTGCGTGGCGCCGGCAGCGGAGGTGTGCGGATGCCGCGATCCTCTAAGTCCTCAACCCACCCTCGGGATGAAGGTGGGCACGCGCAAGTGCATCGTCACGTCCGGTCCAGGTACGATCGCAGTTGTTGGAACTGCGGTTTGTCACACGAGAAATACAGTTGTCCCGCCTATGGTCAGCAGTGCCGTAAATGTCATCGGATGAATCATTATTCGCGGATGTGCAGAGTTTATGAAGTAAAGGAGGACTCCACCGATCAGCTAAATATTAATTACGGTAAGGACTGGTTGGTGAAGTTAAAGATAAATAATAATTTTCTAATGTTCAAGCTGGATACTGGGGCCGATGTGAACGTTTTGCCCAAGAAGTATATTCAAAAAATTAATATTACTGAATCAGAGTTAGCACGTACCGCAATAAAATTACAAGGTTATTCAGGCAATAATATTGAAGTTATTGGTAAATGTCACTTAAAAGTGAATTATAAAAATGATGTTTATATTTTAAAATTCATTGTTGTTGATGTAGATTCACCTCCTATTTTAGGCAGAACCTCGTGTGAGGAATTAAAGTTACTAAAGAGAGTTTTTTCTATTATGGAGAAAAAAGAAAATGAAATAATAAATGAATTTTCCGACGTATTCGTAGGTATGGGATGTTTGCCAGGAAATTACAAAATTCAGGTGAGACATGATATTAAACCCGTAATACATGCTCCGAGAAAATTACCGCTAGCCCTTAAAGACAAAATTAAAAATAAATTAATGGAAATGCAAAAAGAGGGCATCATTGCAAAAGTAGAGGGACCCACCGACTGGGTAAATAGTATGACTGTTGTTAAGAAGCCTAATGGGGACCTTCGAATCTGTCTTGATCCTAGGGACCTTAATAAGGCAATTAGGCGCGAACATTTTAAGCTTCCTACTCTGCAAGAAATAACTGCCAATTTATCGGGGGCAAAATATTTTAGTACTCTCGATGCCAAGCAAGGATTTTGGCAATTAAAGCTTCATGAGTCTAGTACAGACCTTTGTACATTCAGTACTGTATTTGGTCGATTCAAGTTTTTGCGCATGCCATACGGTATATCGTCGGCATCAGAAATTTTCCACAAAAAATTGTATGAGCATTTTGATGATATAGAAGGAGTTATTTTATTTGTAGACGATTTGTTAATCTATGCAAATTCTAAAAAAAACGCATGATGAGAGACTTCGGTCGGTTTTACAAAGGTGTCGGGAAATTAATATTAAATTAAATTTAAAAAAATGTAAAATTGGGTTAACGGAACTCACATATTTGGGTCATAAAATAACAAAGGATGGAACGTATCCGGATGATTCGCACATACTAGCTATAAGAAATATGCCCAAACCAACCACGGTAAAAGACGTCGAACGGTTCTTAGGTTTAGTTACGTATGTGAGTAAATTCATACCGAATTTTTCGGAAAAAACATCTGTGTTGCGTGAACTGTTAAAGAAAGATGTAGCATGGCATTGGGATAGTAATCACGATCAATGTTTTAAAGAAATAAAAGAAAGTCTAAGTAAACCTCCGCTTTTAAAATATTATAGCTTACAGAAACCAGTAAAAATTTCAGTGGATGCAAGTAAAAATGGATTGGGAGCCTGTTTGATGCAAGACGAGTTACCGGTGTGTTATGCTTCTAAATCACTAACTAAAACGGAGCAGTCATACGCGCAAATTGAAAAAGAGCTGTACGCATGTGTTTTTGCTTGTGAAAAGTTTTACACGTATATTTACGGCCGCACGGACGTTACTATAGAAACAGACCATAAACCGTTAGTCAGTATTATTAATAAACCGTTAGCAAGCGCTCCTGCAAGGTTGCAACGAATGCTTTTACGCCTCCAGCCGTATGAATTCAAGTTGGTTTATAAGCCGGGTCGCTATCTTTACGTCGCAGACGCACTATCGAGGGCAGTCGCACCGGACAAGCATGAGTCGACACTGCCGCGCGATCATCTCGACGCGCAAGCGCAGGTGTGCGCGCTCACCGCTAGCAATCCGTTGACGGACTCGCACTTCTTATCTATACAGAAATGTACCCAGGAAGATATAGAAATGCAAGAACTTATTAAAATAATAAAACGAGGTTGGCCCTGTCATAAAAGTAAAATAAAAGACATAATAAAGCCTTTTTGGGATAGTAGGGATGAATTATCAGTTAACTTTGGTATAGTATGGAGGGGTAGCAGGGTAATAATACCTAAATGCATGAGATACGAAATGATTAAAAAGATTCATTTGGGCCATCTAGGGATTGAAAAATGTAAACTCAGAGCTCGAGAAATTATGTACTGGCCTAATATGAATACTCAACTTGAAGATTATCTGTCACATTGTCAAGCTTGTCTAACTTATAAAAAACAAAATTGTAAGGAACCGTTAATGCAACACGAAGTACCAAATAGGGCATGGTCTAAAGTAGGAATAGACGTTTTTCACTTCGGAACAAAATCGTTTGTCCTCATAATAGACTACTATAGTAAATTTGTAGAATTAATAAAAATTCATTGCTTAAAGTCAGAATTAATTGTTAAAAAAATTAAACAAGTTTTTAGTAGACACGGTATACCCGAAATAGTTATGACCGATAATGGCCCTGAGTTTGCATCTAACACTTTTCGCGAATTCTCACATGATTGGAAATTCCAGCATGTGACGTCATCGCCGAGATATCCTCAATCTAACGGCCAGGTCGAGCGTGCCATACAAACAATTAAAAATATGATGAGAAAAACGGCTTATGATCAGGCGGAGTTCCCATTAGCGCTCCTTGAATATCTAAATACACCAATCAGTAAGGAACTCGCTAGTCCAGCGGAGTTGTTATATAATAGAAAACTCCGCAGTATACTTCCGTGTTCTCCAAATTTATTGTTACCAAAAATTAATACGGACGTAATAAATAAATTAAAACACCGTCAACAAAAGCAAAAAATGTATTACGATAAAGGTGCTAGAAAATTAAAAACACTAATAATTGGACAAAAAGTTAAAGTTCGAATTAACAAAACATGGGTATCAGGTTTTATTAAAAGTATTGTAGGTCCTAGGTCATATTTAATAAGCATGGCAACGGGTGGTGTATTAAGACGAAATAGGAAGCATATCATAGTTGATTCGAACCAGAGAATCGATGAATCATCTAATCTACGCACTCAGTACGATGATATCGCTGTAAACAATAACAAAACCTCCGCGCACGCGCCCCTCCCCGCACGGCTCCAGTACTCAGCTGCGAGCGCCTCACTTGCAACAATCTGATGGATCAACTGTTTTCACTAACTGTTTTTATCGTACACGTTCCGGCAGGGAAGTGAGACCTCCTGATCGATGGGGCTTCTCCGCACCACAGAAATGACAGCTATGAATAATGTGAGGCAAAAAACTTTATTTTATTTTATTTAATTATAGGATTGATTTTTTATTATTAATTATATATATAAATTATTTTTATCAATAACAATAAGTCGAAAGCAACAAGTTAATTGGATTTTGTTTTTAATAAATATTATATAAATTACGCATTAATAAATTATATTAATATGATTAAGTTACACGTTATAATTATATGAATAAATTCATGTATTATTATAAATCAAATTGTTAATTTTCATGCTTTTATTTAAGAAATGTTTTTATTATATTAAGATTATTACTTGTGGTTTTAAAAAAAGATTAGTGTTAAACCTCGACCCTTCATAATTTCTTAAGAAGGGGATTGTAGGTATCTTGAAAATAAATTATAATATTTTGCATGCAGGTATATAATAAAGACAGTCTTGTCTCAACTCCCGTGTTTGATTGCCGCATCCTAACAATACAAAATTAACATTCTTTTTACTACTGTCCAGTTTTCTTCTTTTTCCAATGTGTCCTTCGCGTTCTTAGTTGAATTTACTGACACTGAATTAACTTGGTTTTCATTAATTGAAACTGAGCATTTATGAACACTAGATAATTCTGCCGATTTCGTGGCCACACCATCTTTCTTGGATTCATTATTAAAATTATTTGAGCTCGAGTTCGGCGTTTTTTCACTTATTGATACCGTACTATTATTACAATGAGATGGTGATTTTGCGAACACCCCCTTCTTATTTGGGCCGTTATTTATAACTATCGTATTTTTATTCTGCTTCGTTATATTAGCAAATGACACTAATTGCTCCACATTTGTTTGTAATATTTCCTTCGTAGTATTTTTTACTGTTAAAGTAGTTTCCAAACGTTCATTTATTTCTGTAAGTACTTTAATACGCTCCTCCAACTCATCCACCTTATTTGCTTTTTGCTGCACTACATTCATAATATTTTTTAATTCCCGCAGCTCAGTTTCGGTATTAATAAATCTTTTTTCTAGCCGTTTATATTCCTTCATTTGATCGTCGAGCCGAGAAATCATTTCCATGCGGAACTCTCGGATCTCCTCTATAATCCTACTATCGTTACATACTTCGCGGTAATTGTGACGATCTCTTCGTTCTTTGTTCACATAAAAAGACGGTGAAAACGATTTGTCCATTACGCAAACTCCCCGAATCGGTGTATTGGTGTTGTCTACTTTCGGAATATTACACCGGCATTCTGGACAAACCCATTTACCTTTCTCTTCTTCAGTAAAATTTTGGTACTGCTCAGCCGTTATTGATACACACATAATATGATGATACACTTTTCTACATGTTTTTTGAGAACACTCTATGCATAAAATATCAAAAATCAACTCATTGCACCCACTACATTTTGTTTCCATTTGATTATCCATATTATTATAAAAAAAAAAAATAACTTATACGTAATAATTAGTCGGCACTACTCGCATAAGCGTCCGTTCGCTTTGCGTCTCGCGAGAACAATTTATTGATCTTCAGTTAACACCTCTAAATTATTCTGCAAGTATGCTAGCACTTCGTTTATAATAATATTACACTCCTTACATTTCACGGCATCCATTTTTGATTTCGTGCGCAACCTGTCGATCGCGCGTTCGCGACGCAACTGATTAACTGTTATAATCATAGTACATACACTGAATTTTTAGTTAAACATTTTTATGTACTGATTATTTATCAAATTAGTTATACTAATTCCGGAAGAATGTTGTGGTCACAGTACAAATCCACACACGCAAAGACTTTAACGTCTTGAAATAAAGTTCATTTTTCTTTATTTTTAGGAATCGATTCAGTAAACGATTCTGAACAATGAAATAATACTAGTTTTTTATTTATTGTTAGGGGGTACGTTTTATTTCAATGTTAGTGTTCGCGTAAATATAAGAATCATTTGATTCTGAACAAACTACTTTCTCAAAGTGCGTTAATTACGTTACACATTGTATATAGGATTATATAATATTATGTCGTCATAAAATTTCTGTTTTATAAAGTTTACAGTTATTTTAATTATCTACCAGTTTGTGTGAAGTAATTCTGTTAATATATACGTTTATACAAAGTAAAACGCCGCCAGTTTTGCTACAGTACGATTTTTTTTTAAATTAACCGTTACTCTGTTACACATAGTTTATTTGTATATGTTTATCATCAAATCATAATAAAACAGTGAAAACCAATGTTTATATTTAGTTAATGTAAATACTAATTTAAAGTGTAAGTATATACTTATTTATTTATTTAATATTCTTTATTGCACACCATACAAAAATTAGAGATTATTTATACACTAGAAGTATGCAATGGGCGGTCTTATTGCTGATAGCAATTTCTTCCAGACAACCAATGAATGGACAGGTTTACACAAAGATGACAGGGGTAGGGCAAATTAGTGTGATAAAAAAGAATACACATTTTATATGTGTACTTACTTAAACAAATCGTAAATATATTATAATCTTTGAGGTGTTATTACCTTTTCTGTGCTTGGTTTAAAAAAAAGAATATTAACAATTCTAAAACATTACTAATATTCCCCTTAACCACTCGTGGTAGGCTTAAATCGCTTGTGTTACGAGTGGGTCACGCCAGTAGTCGAATGGCGGATTCGAACTCACGGGGACTACTTGAAAAGTTTCAGCTTTCAAATAAAAAAAGAATCATCAAAATCGGTTTACCTAAAAAAAAAGTTCTGTGGTAACACACAAAAAAACATACAGCCGAATTGAGAATCTCCTCCTTTTTTGAAGTCGGTTAACAATCATTCTTGGACGGTGTTAGATTAGTAAGACGCTGTTGCCCATCTCCTGATTTGTTTCCCTCTGTCGCCTGTTACGACACCCACGTGATATGGGGTAGTGGATATTTTTAGACTGCTAATACACACGGTTATAGATGATTTGTGGCTTATTAATGCAGAACAGAGTTCCAAATACCAACATTTACGTTATATATTAGCAGCCTGTTTGTTGTTTTATTAATTTACAACATAGAGTGCACGAAAAGTAAATTGTATATATATATATATATATATATATATATATATATATATATATATATACAATTTACTATAACTTTAACAAGGCAACAACTGGAATGTCGTCTAAAAATACTTAACGCAATCTTTCCTTAACTTTCCTCGGAATTTTTATGTTAAATTTTCCTGAAAGTAAATAAAATCGTTAAAATCGAAAACGCATTCGTTTACTTTAAAAAAATATTCATTACACAATACTAACGTCGACTGTCAGCACTCGTTGAAGCACAACATTTGTAGACAAGCGTAAATTGAATCTGAATAAAATTTCGCTTGCCTTTCCAATTTCCCTCTTCTTATCAATTCGTAACATTCCCCACATTGTAAGAGAGATTTGCCGCAATCCTCATGATTGGCAAGTGAATTAGCAGTGCATGTGCGTTTTGAATCGAATTGAAATCTGATGAATCAATTCACAAAAAAATCGAGGTCTAAAAGATCGATTTCTCAAAAATCGATCTTTTTCGATTCGCTTTCAGATTCGTACAAAATACAGATAACAAACGTAACTTATTTTTTATTTCTTTAATCCATTAAGAAGAGGCGAAAGAAACAGCACAGTAGTTTTACTAGTTTTTGAATGGAAAAACTGTCGTTTTTTACGAGTTTGGGTACATTCAACTAATTGTATATAATTTTATAGTTATGAAAACAGAAAAAATTCAATCTCGATTTTCTAGGGTGAAATATCGATTCACTGGATCAATTCAGTACTAGATATCGATAAAAAAAGATCTTTTTTTCACAATAAATCGATTCTTCGATTATTCGACCCCAGATCGACATGCCTACCTATAGCTCCTGCGTGTCCGGGTATAATATACAAGATAATAAATATATCGCCATGTCTACATATTAATAATATGTGGTTAGTAGATACATTACATCAATTCTAGTTGAAAGGAGGGGAGTAGAGTGCACTAGTGCCATATGTTGTAGCTATATTACAACTGCAGGACGGCACTAGTAACTATGCAAACATAAATCCAAATAAATAGGCTAATATCATGTTCATTCAATCAATATCTTACCTCACATGTATCAATCGGATTTTCTCCATTCCGAAGTCTATCAGCCACCTGTTTTGGTATCATCTGGTAGAGAAGCTCGTCGGTCCTCTTCATTTCTTCGTCCAGTTTCCTCATAGACTCTTCTAACTTTTTACTTTTTTGTTGTTCTTGATCTAATGCTAGTTTTAGCTCTACGGATTGTTGAGTACCGGCCAGCATTAAATCTCTGTTAAAAAAAAATCTTGATATACCTCAACAAATGAATAAGTAGTGAGCATAATCTTTCAAGGTGTTTTTGGTACTATACCGCGGGGTGTAACGCTATATGATAATTTTAGTATAGTTTTTTATTGTCATAATGGAAGTATAAATAACGTTATCCAAATAATTAAATGATTGTTAATAAATAAATAAATAAAAAGTTTGTGTCGTGTTTTAGTTTTGGTGATTATCTTATTATCTACCATCTTGCCATAAATAGTTTTTTGAAAATATTTTTTATACCGCGTAGTAAGTAAACTCTGTCCGACGCGCCGTTCTATCGACTATATGCCATAAGAAGTCTAAGTAAGTTAATAACAATGCGGAAAAATGCTCCGAAAATCCTTTGAAAAATGTTTGAGACAGAAATATACTTCGTCTTGTCTCTACCTCAAACAACTATGCTACTAATTATATTATTCATAATTCATACCTGCTAAAGTCATGCATTGACAAGTCGTTGATGTAAAGCCCAGTGGAGACAAGAGCCGCTAGATCTGGCATAACAGGAGTACCCAAGTACATCATCATGCGCCAGTTGTCCATGTAGATCATCTGACCTGATCAAAAAGAAGCTGTTATGTTTTAAATATTGCCAAATAATTTACATTTGCTAAGTGATTCTGAGTACTACAGCAAATATACAGTGCAATAAATATAAAAACCTAATTTCTATTTACGACTATGTTCATTTTGTCCAAGCATATGTGATTAAAACTTAGTTATTATATCATTTATTATTTCGTTTAAGAAAGTTAAAGTATGATTAGCGATTACATGTTTATAAACAATTTTACTTATAAAATTGTAAAAATTTAGTTATGAAACAAAAATATCGGGTACGGCAAATCATTTCTCATTTTCTAAAATTTCTAAAAGAAAAAAAAGAAAATAATTAATATTAAAAATATGTACTAAATTCTATGTTGCCCGTGTCACTTTTTGTTTTTTAAGTACATACATATAATATGTTTTCAATTTTTTAATAAATGCCGTATGCCTTAAATATACGAATAGGTACATGTAAAAATTATACTTATTTGTAATTTGTTTTACAAACATAAAACAATAATTTAAAAAAAATACATTATATATTAATACAATTGGTATTATACCATTAAGTTACTACACTTAGTTCTTTTATAATAATATTTAGGCTATTTAGGGTGGTGCAATTATTTACGTTCTACAATACATAACCTTTAAAAGCTGGTTGGAAAAAAATTACCGGTGCATAATAATTAAAAAAAAATATAAAGTAGTTCTCTAAATCTTTGGTAATTACTATAGATATTAAGAAGTACCTGCTACGTATCTATAAGGTATCTATATATCTAAACATAAAACGTATGGTGCTCTATAATTTGCAAATTGCCAGGCCAGTGCTTTAAATATATTTAATAACGGTTTTGGAAACAAACAATCCTCTTCATAAGACTACCTTTGAGATGTAAGTTAATTACATCAGGTAAGCGTCTTCCGTCATAGGCGTATCGAGCTTTTGGAGGAACGCCTGAAAGTGCACCCATTTTATATTGACTTAGTACATTATTTTCAATAACTTACTATAAAATTAAAATACCTTGCGTGCAACTTTCAATAAAAATACCAATATAATATACTATGCATAATCGTTACCAAAACGAACGAATTTAGTCTCCTCAGATTCCTAGGCAAGTTTTAGGGCAAGGAAGAGTATGCGCTGCCCCAATGCGTGTTGGCAGACTTCATTCACATAATTAGTTCGTTCTTTTTTTTAATTTGTCAGGCTGACAGATTTTGGTACAATCAGTACTTAAAATTGCAACTAACAATTTTATCGGTGCTGGTGCCATCTAACTCGGTCTGATTGCGTTCTTTTTAATTATATGGCTCAAGATTACAAAGAGCTACCACGATTTAATTAGACCATGAATTTAGAAGAAAATATAATCTTCTGTTATTCTAAACAAAGTTGTTTCTATCGGAAGATCAATGGCAACTCAACTTTTTCTTTTTTATGATGATAATCCCGGCCGATTTGCGACCAAGACGAATATAATTTTTGGAGATTTAATTATTAAATTATCAGAAATTATCAGGATTACAGAGTTAGATATTGTAGCACAACAAGGTGTACGCGTAGGTTTCCGGGTATATCATATTACTAAATATATTATATCGCCAAAGAGTTGTATATTACATAACTTAATGTTCTAAATCAGAGATTTCATTTTTTATTACTGTCGCAAAAACAAGCTTAAACTTTAGCACTGCCTTTTCATTTTTTTTGTTACGTCTGTTTACGTGGTGCGTACATTTTAAAAGGGTTGCCAGTTTTTAATTTTCTCCTACATAGCTCGATGTCCTCTTGTAGCATTTAAAAATAACACAAGTGGTCATTCTCTAACCTCCATGGGTCAAATAATAATGCATTTGCATTTTATCTGTTCTTCTATGTCGTATAAGTTTTTTATGTACATATATAAATTGCACATGGACTAAACTTCTGATGAGAACACGAAAAATTTAATTTTCACAATTCACAAACACGCAGACTCCATCTATGTCCAGTAATCGATATTACGGCGATTATATCTACAAAAGATTTAGATGTTGTGCCATGATGAATTTGAGGATAAGAACATCAAATTAATTCTCTTCATCTGATGATGACTATGGTGTAGTTAGGTAGGTTCGAATTAACATTTGTGCAAAACCACAAATTATCGGATTTCTGGTATGGTTGTTTTGTCTCTGAAATTGAAGCTTAGTATACCACCGATCTTGTAGAAGCTTAACTTTGGTCGCTTCTTAACTTAAACGTCGATGCAGCAAAATCAACACGGATTTACGTCCTTGGTATATACGACATATTATACCGGTATTGATTTAAGACTGAGAAGAAGTGATTGAGAGATAATCAGTTCGACACATTGACTACATAATTAATTATGGGGATGAAAGCACTCAGCCTACGAGATCCATGTTACGTGGTTGAGCCACTGCACACAGGCTGCTGTACGAATGGGTCGGACCGGGAAAGAATCCTTCGCGCATAGAACACAAGCGTGAAATGGCAGCATAAAGCTGTAGTGATTTGTATGACGAGTGAAATAGAGATTAATTTTACTGTTAACGAGGCATTTCATCTTAGTCCTTAAGGGTGAAAACTGCTTTTTTCATTTTGATACTTAATTAAGGATAGTTGTATATGTAAGTGTCTATGGACCATAGCATCCGCTCATGATCAGGACTCACATGTGTGCTCTTTTGTCACCCTTACTGCAAAAAAAAACCTTTTCGAAGAGCATTACGTCGTAAATAGCGGCAACTGTCATGAAACTGTTTATTCGCAATAGAGTAATGCTGCAGCTATATTATCGTAGTATGAATACGTCAGCTCGACCGAGGAAGGACCACGTTCTCACTCACGGGTGACAACGCATCTACATTTCGATTGTTTTCAAAGATAGATGTCGATGTGTATGGGCTACAAAATCCACTTACCGTCAGGTGGACTGTGTGCTCGTTTATCAATTTTATTTTATATAACAAAAAAACAATTCCAACACTAAAGAGTAAATACTTTAATGCGAATAAAACTCTTATTAGAAGGTTTTTAAACCTTAATAAATTTTGAAATATTTGGTTAGCCTTACCTTTAAGCCTTAGATTTTTCTCGGTGGTACCATCAGATTCGTCCGAAAGACGCATGAGCTCGTTCTTCCTGTCCGGTGCCTTTTCATGCATCACGGCCTCTACTGTCACCAGTTCGAAGATGTTGTTTGTGCGGTTTAAGATCTTTAGAGAAATATGTAACAGTTTATAATTACAAGTAATTATTATCTTTATATATAGATTTGTTATTATTTTCTCAACAAAGGCTCAGTTCTTACCATTTGTGTGAAATTTAAAGCTTAATGTTTTTTTCAAAACTTTGATTTTGATGATTTAATGGAAGATGGTAAAGCACAAAGGCGTAGGTTAACAAAAGCATCTTGTCATCATGTTTTTTCGTTACCGGATTATATATGAAAAGATCTGTTTGGAAAGATATCACTAGGAGTACCTACTCTAATTTTTGTATAAAATCGCAATTTTTTTTGTTAAGGATATAATTTAAATACTACAAATAACATTTTTAAGCTAAATTTTAGGAAAATAAAAAAGAAAAGAGCAAATATAACTATTAAAGTTTTGAAAATTCAAAAGTACACGCCTCATAATCTTGTTTTATTATATAAAAAGAAAAATATCTCTTTTTCTATATCTGATACGAAAGAAGAGATCCATGAGAAATATTCTCTTTGTAGAAAAGTACCAGTTGTTTTTTACATTTTCATTAATTACAATTAAACGAGACCAAATTACTCAGTGATTTTCAAAAGTAACCTATTGAGATTCTAAACCTAATAAAATATAATTATTTTGATATATTAATTCTAACGACCGTAATCGTGCGCCATCCACACAAAACATAAAGACATCCGGACACCCTCCAAAATCAAAACACAGTTTTTTTAACACTAAATACAGTAAATTATTTTAAAAAATAATAGAAACATGAAAATGAGTGATTTTTCTCGATATATGTGTATTTTTATTATTCTAAAAGTGCAATAGTAAAAAAATAAAGACATTTTTAGCTCAGAAAAAATTAGTGGATTTCCATTAGGTGAGAGTAGAGCACAACCTCAACGCTTCGCTTATGAGGCGTGCAAAACGTTTTTATCGTGATAATGCTCATGGGTACCCATAACGGTTTCAGTGTTGTCATCTGCGAGGGACTACTATTGTTTATCCCTGCAGGTTTCGGGCCTCGGGGTGTTCCCCATTACCCGGGTAATCTTCGCAGCCCATTTCTATGGGCCGGTCTTGGAAGCCGTACAAGGACCGCATTGTAGGTACTCTTTTTTGGCATATTGCGCGCCGCCAGGTAGGTGCTTACGGAGGGTCAGCAGTCTCGAAGCCCCGCGGAGTCCCGCGGACAGGGAGTCGACGCAGGGCCAATCCTGCCGACAGGTGGGCGCTCCTAACAGCAGCACTCCCGGCCTCCAGTGCTCCTCCCTGGCTCTAGGTTAAGGCCTGGTGAATTCCTAGGCAGAAATTGGCGTATCTCGCGCCTCTAGGGAGGGATCTGCCGAAGGGTCAGCAACTTCCAGGTCCCGCGGAGACGCATCTCGACGCGGAGCCGAAGTCACCAACGGGCGCACGCTCTCCTAGCAGCACGCCGGAACTTCAGGTATGTAACGTCCGGGGCGGGGTCAGGGGCGTCCTCGAGGCTCGACGCAAGCCGAGTTGGCCCCACAGCACGTGCACCCACTGCGAAGCGACGTGCTGTACTTCTCCCACCCGGGCGGAAGCCGACGACCGACGGACGTGACCGGCTGCTAGCGCGGTTCGGACGCAACTCAATAACGTTGTTGTTGTCTTCTTCATGTGTCTTTTATGCACATGGAGGTTTCGGGCCTCGGGGTAAGCCCCCTTTACCCGTGCTGTCCTCGCGGTCCACTACTATGGACCGGTCCTGGGAGCCTTCATGTTAATGGCGTTGCTTATAACGGATTGTCGTAGTCGGTAATTTTTTCGTAAAAAGTGGTTATGACTACGAAAAAATGAGGTTATCTAATGACATTGGTCGGAGTTGGCCTTTCAGCGGCGTTGAGGGTTGTTACTCGGACTCTCTAATCGATATAGAGAGGAGTTCTCTTGGATAAGGTCGCCCGTCCGGCGGGCGAGTGTGCAGCGGCGCGAAGTCGTTGAGGTGTACATGCGGCCCGTTGTCAGCGCGGTCGAACAGTCCGCGCGCCAGCCGGGCCACGAATTCCTGTATGGTGTCCATCTTCAGGTTGGCCGCTATGACGTCATTACGTACGTAGCGACCCGCACCGACGATGGTTCTTAACGACATATTTTGCTGGGCTGAAGTCGCCGCCTCTGATGATCGCTCAGGAGTGCATACCAGGCCGGAGCAGCGTATGTGATAGCATGGCTCTGATGTAGGTTTTATAGATGGTTACTCGCACTTTGGATTGGTAGCTTGGATGCCAGGACCGGACGTAGCATCGCCCGCGCACATCGAGCTTTACGTACGAGAGGTCGACGTGCGCAGTCATGCGCAGCGCCCTGTCAATCCGGCACCCAAGGTAGGTCACGGCCTTCTCGTACGCGATCTGCTGGCCTTGAGGGTTAGTTGAGGTGGTAGGTTCCTGAGGCGGCGAGTGAGTAGAGCGGTCGTCTTGCCAACGTTGACGGCCATCCTCCACTCATCTAGCCATGGTGGCAGCAGGTCCAACAGGCGTTGCATCCTGGCAGCGGCTATGTGGGCTCTTCTGGACGACGTGAAGTAAGCGCTATCATCCGCAAACAGTGCCAGTTCCACGTCGTCCTCCCATTCTTGCAAGCCTGTCCTGCCAGGGTAGGTATGTCATTTGTGTACGCCGCGTACAGGGCTGGAGACAGACAGCTGCCCTGTGGCACGCCGGCTCTGATATGGTCCTGGTTGCGGACTCGGCGCCCTCTACGCAGACGTAGAACTTCCTGGCTTCCAGGAAAGACGCCACTAGCCGCAACATAGCAGGAGGGACACTTGTCTGTTCTTCTAATTTATAGAGTAATCCAGTGTGCCACACCCGGTCGAACGCCTTCTCGATATCGAGAAAGACGCCCAACGTAGTGGGCCACGGTTGTAATCGGCCGCAAGCAGGTGCAGCACTCTGGTCAGCTGTGTTGATGTAGAGTGACCCCTCCTGAATCCGTGCTGCTCCGCCCGAAGTTGGATGCACGGGCGGAGGCGTCTTAGCAACAATCTTTCAAGCAGTTTAGCTATGTGTGGTAGCAGCGTGATCGGCCTGTAGCTGGCAGCTCTACGCCTGTCCTTCCCGGGTTTCGGCAAGACGATTACTTTGCCTTTCTTCCAGTCCTCCGGGAAGTGGGATGTCCGCAGTATCCCATTGTAGAGTCGACCAAGCTCTACTAGGACTCTATGGGGCAGCTGTCGTAGTGCAGCGTTGGTAATCCCCTCAATAAGGGTTGACGGACCAAGCCAAGGTTATTTTAGCGGCTAAACCGCACGGTGATCACCCTTAGCGTAAATTTAATATATTTTCTTGTCACTATGATGCGACAAGTGTTATCTTTTAATGATAATAACTGTTTTTGGAGATAAAGTTGGTCACTTGTGAATAATAATGACAATAATAAAACATATACATGCTTTCAAATTTATACTTACAGTCTCAAATTTAAACGCAATAAGAGGTCGTACTAAGTCGAACCAGTTGGTGACCTTTTTTCCCACTAAATCCGGAAGTATCACCAATAGAGAGTTGCCGATGCTGCGGACTACCATGTCTGATCTGTTAGAAAAAATAATCACTAGATTGTTTTAGTGATAAACAGATAAGAAATAAACAAGCATAGAAAGTAAGATTACAATTAATATAGGCCCCACAATGACACTATTGTGCATTGGCCTCTTATTTCTGAGAGATCGGACACGGATAGGTTGTAAAGGGAGAGTGCTTATAGTCAAAAATTTTGTTACGCGTTCCACCAAAATATATTATATAATGATTTAGGGAGATAGTAAATATGCTTTAAAAAGCGCCACACGTATAATTCACAAATCAGCAAAAAGTAATGGCGTCTATAATGTAATGTTTTTTTGACGTGACAACGTCTAATGAAACATCGAACGCCGGCTGTACGCACGAAAATGGATGACTGGTTGTAACGTTACGATCGGAGCGAGAGCGCTGCACGAGCGAGCGAAAGGCACGATCGGCTAGTGCGTTTAGTTTGCGCCGCATTAAAAGCAAATTTATCAATTAAATTGTAGATTTCATTTCACTCCTTCTTTTTTTCCACACAAAATAGTGATAATTCAATAAAAGTATGCAATCATTTCATCAATGTTTTGTTATGACGTTATCACGTTAAACTGTCGTCCGTGAACCGACCTTATAGACAACCAATTTTTTTTTAAATGCAAACCAATTTACAGTCAACTTGCTTTATATGTCCTGAACTTACCACATGATAAGTGATTGCTACATTCCATGGATACCTGCAGCGACTTCAAACAAAGAAGGCTAAAAAAGCGTTGTTACTTCTGAGGACTAAGTTGTAATGCCTCACAGCCCGTAGTTACAGTGGCCCTCTAAACTCTTCAAACCAGAACACTGCAGTGTACACACTACAATTTGGTGGCAGTAGTAGTTGAGAGGGTGGAATTCCCAGACGAACTCCTAGAAATGCTCCTAATGCCTTTTGCGGGGCAGGGCGAACTGTTGAATTTGTCGGATTATAGAGTAATGCCTAAGAAACCCTATTGTACGGATTTTGGACAATGATAAGATTTATATGTTATATAATATGTACTCTGAAGTACAAATCATACTTCATTATGTCAAATTCAAACTAAGCAATCAGAATCAAAACAATACTCTACGCGTCAAGCACAATAGTGGTGGTGCGTACAAGTTATAACTTTTTCAATCATGCGTTAACCGAGATTGTCAAAAATGTTCAATAATAAGTAATAGACCATGTCGGGTATTACAGGGGTTGCCAGATAAAACAGAGGCCAGATTACCGGGGGTCCACTGTGTAAGCATAGCGTGATCGCTAGCAAAGTTCCTCCAAGTCCTACACTTAGCAGTGGATTGCTTAAAGGCTTCTGCGAAAGTTAGAAATAATAATAATATATTTGACTCTCAATTTAACACATTACATTTATGTATTATATCTATTTTAAATTACAAAATTACATTTCAAAGTAGTTAGTGTTAACGGCCATACTAGTATAGACTGTGTTACAGCCTTGTGTCTTCCACCCGAGTAGTACAATACAAATACAACAAAAAATGAAAGATCATTTCGCTATAAAATACACAAACATGTTAAGATAAAATACACAAACATGTTAAGATATATATATAAAAGTTAAGGAAAATGAAGAGAAAATTAAAATTTGAAATGACGATGAAGAAAGACGTTCAATGTGTACCAATCATGTAAGAGAGACACCGCTTGTAAGCAACACATTCGTAATTTTCGCAATACCTATTGTGTGTGGTCTTGTGCTCTTGTGTGTTGGATGTTGCAAAATTCTGCACAAACATTAAGTACGCTATTTTAACTATGATTCCTTTAATGTATGGCCTCACTTTCAACTGTGTCTACAAGAACTTTGATATTAATTTCACGTCTTGTTTATGTTGTTTAAGTTAATAGTTGTGGTTCTACCAAAACTTCCTTGACTCAAATGTACACATATTATATAATGTAGCTCTATTACTACTGTAATATATTAGCTTTAAATTACCTACTGTCTACAAACAATAGAACAACACAACAGTGTGCTATACGGGGATGTTATTTTATAACATGGGGTCTTATAATGCCCATCGAAAACGTATAATATATGATCGGTTTTGTACTTCAATATCAATATTCCAGTAGTTATCGAAATATTTAAGATATACATTATATGAAATTGTTACTTATTTGAAAAATTATTACGATGATGCATTAATAAAACAAACAAAATTATTTTTCTAATTTATTGCATCCTATCCGTTAATCTTTTTCTTATTTTTATTAATTTTGTTATTCTGGCTTGTCTGTAAGATAGACAGGAATTGTATTATATGTAACCATTGAGTTATAATATGTACTACGTCCATCAAACACACAAAATTGTTCTATATAATAATTTGTTACAAAACTTGTTCACAATAGTAATGTGCGTAGTACATATATATCGATGATTGTGACAAATCATTAGACATGTTTTGATTTCGAAGTTTCAATTCAATACCTTTATTAAAACATAATAACGTTTTATGTACCTATATTATAAATATGTACGGCTTTTACAAATTATCCCTTATTATGTCGACTTTTTCTCTTTTTTTTAGAATTTCTCCCCGCAACATTAATTTCTCTTTAAATCACAAAAAACACCAAGACACAAAGTTGCAACTTTATTTCTTTTTAAATCTTTTTTTTTTTTTGTTTTACTTTATAACATTTTCTAGGCAGCTTTAAACCAAAGGATCGCGTGGTGGCTACTTTTTAGATTAGGAAAATACTATGGCGGTATTTTCCTAATCTAAATCTATGGTGTATTTATTTACCGAGGGAATAACTAAAACTTAACCCAGTTTTTTAAGTAAATAAAATATAAACTTCCAAGGTTATTTAAGGTAAGGTACTATTCTTACATGATAAGTCAGTTATCTTACCAGCCGGGCTAGCATGGGCAGGAGACAATATATCCACGGGGAGGGGATAAAATTTTTATCCCTTGCTCAATTTTATCCACCCTGCGAGCATGGGCAGGAGACAAAAATTATATCCCCCGATTATATCCACCGACAAGAGATAAAATTATCTTATCCCTATACCAGAGTACGACAACAGGGGAAAGGAGAAGTATATTCCTGTTTGACATAACGATTAGACATATTATACCCCCCCCCCGTCCGTATTAGCATGGGTCCAATGGAAAGAGAAAAAATTAGCCCTTTTTGACATTTGAAAGGGATAATTTTATCCTTTTTCGTGGATGTGGGTTTAAGTTTATCTTCAAACCATTTTAATACAAAAAGATGTGTTGAGCCTATTGCAACTACGTTTCTGATGGGGTTATTTGAAGATATTCTGAATCTATAGATACAAATAAATAAAAATGAAGCGTGTTTGTAATGAGAAAATAACAGCTTTTACTAAATGTTTCATCATCATCATCACCATTATCATTACAGCCCTTCACAAGTCCACTGCTGAACATAGGCCTCCTCCAAGTAATGCCACAAATCACGGTCCTGAGCCACCTGCATCCATCGACTTCCTGCATGTCTTACCAGGTCGTCACTCCATCTAGTGGCGGGTCACCATACACTACGCCTACCGGTACGAGGCTGCCACTCGAGAACCTTTCTTCCCCATCGGTTATCGATTCTTCGTCCTATATGGCCGGTCTATTGTCACTTCAGCTTACTAATCCGTTGGGCTATGTCGGTCACTCTGGTTTTACTGCGGATATCCTCATTTCTGAGTCTATCACGCAGAGAAACTCCGAGCATAGCCCTCTCCATAGCTCGCTGAGCGACCTTGAGCGTCCTCATACGGCCAGCAGTGAAGGACCACGTCTCAGATCCGACTAAATGTTTATGAAAATATATATGGGTACTTATGACAAAAAGTATTTAAAATTTTTGTCTGTCTGTCTGCCTGTTTGTTCCGGCTAATCTCCGAAACTGCCGGACCGATTTCTGCAGGACTTTCACTCGCAGATAGCTGATGTTATGAGGAGTTACTTTTATTTTAGAAAAAAAAAATAGGGTAAAATTTACATAGGAGCAAATTTTTACGGCTGAAGTATAATTAATTATACCTCAAAACAAACAATCAAGCATGTTTTCAAAGAGGTTTGAACGAAAAAACCTAGCCTAGTTTTTTTTTAAATGAAAGCTAAACAGAGTATTCAAAAAAAACCCATGAAACCAATCGTAATGAATTCTCGCGGGCGAAGTCGGAACAGCTAGAGCTAGATCTAGAGGTAAAATAAATAATGATCTTTTTGATTTTTATAACACTACACATTTGAATGAAAAATAAAGATAAATTATAAGCATTCTTTGTGTATACACGTTTAGAGTCAAAGTTGTTTTGTTTTTAATTACCTAAAAATTTATCAATGACAAATCGAATAAATGCCGCAACATAGAATGTCGCAGTTCATTATCAATGATCAATGAGGCCATACATAAAGTATAAAATGCAGAGAAAATGCTTCATTTCAGAATTTCAAATTTTATGTATTTACATATTTTTACTATTGGAAACGTTTTAAATGTACATGGACAAACTTCAAGATCCGTTACAGTTATTTATATTTTTATTTTATTTTAATCCGGTTACACACTAAGATGTATATTAAGTAAGTAACGTATGGTATAATATACCTATGGTATCAATTATGTGGTATTAATTATGGTATTTATATAAGTAGCACTATGTAATTTCAGAATTTTGCTTGTTTAAAAATAAATATACCTATATTGTTAACATCAATGGCGAGTACATCACTCACCTTCGATTTGCCGACGATATAGTCCTTATGGCAGAATCGCTGGAGGACCTTAGCACTATGCTCAATGACCTCAATGGTGTCTCCCAACGGATAGGTGTTAAGATGAACATGGACAAAACAAAGATCATGTTTAATGTCCATGTCACACCTATGCCGATAGTTGTTGGGAGCACTATGCTCGAAGTTGTTGACGAGTACGTTTACCTGGGACAAATAGTCCGACTAGGTAAGTCCAACTTCGACCGAGAGGTCAATCGACGGATTCAACTCGGCTGGGCAGCGTTCGGGAAATTACGACACATCTTCTCGTCAGGTATACCTCAATCTCTGAAAACTAAAGTTTACAACCAGTGCGTGTTGCCAGTGATGACTTACGGATCAGAGACGTGGTCCTTCACTGCTGGCCGTATGAGGACGCTCAAGGTCGCTCAGCGAGCTATGGAGAGGGCTATGCTCGGAGTTTCTCCGCGTGATAGACTCAGAAATGAGGATATCCGCAGTAAAACCAGAGTGACCGATATAGCCCAACGGATTAGTAAGCTGAAGTGGCAATGGGCCGGCCATATAGCTCGAAGAACCGATAACCGATGGGGAAGAAAGGTTCTCGAGTGGCAGCCTCGTACCGGTAGGCGCTGTGTAGGGCGACCCCCCACTAGATGGAGTGACGACCTGGTAAGACATGCAGGAAGTCGATGGATGCAGGTGGCTCAGGACCGTGATTTGTGGCATTACTTGGGGGAGGCCTATGATGATGATGATGAAAAATAAGTACCTGGATAATCGAGCTTTGCTCGTTTTTTTTTTGAAATGGTGTGTTATGGAAATTATATTTAGATACACTGATGAAATATGAATAATTTGATCTTACCGACAGAATAGAAAAAACTGAACTGGTTATTTGAATAAAAAATCATGAGTGCAATTAGTTTAATTTAAATTTTCGTGTTTTTTAAAAAATACTAAAAAAAGGGCTCGAAATAATAGATTTTCTCAAAAAAGAAGGGAACTTGAAAATAAAGGAAAAAAACTCGCTCCGAAGACAGGGACTCGTACCAGGGCACCACGATTTCGATATCGCCCGATATCCTATGAGCTATTATAACCGTTAACGCACTATCAAAATTTACCTTCTCATTCTAACAATATTGTAGCAGTTTTTTATTGCCTGAAAACACGGATGAAACGACGTTTTCTAAAAATAAACCCTAGTTAGATCGATTTATTGCCCCCGAAACCCCCTGGACACTAAATTTTATGAAAATCGTTTGAGCCATTTCCGAGATTCCGATTATATATATATATATATATATATATATATATATATATATATATATATATATATATATATATATATATATCATCAAGAATTGCTCGTTTAAAGGTATTAGATAGATGTATTAGGTGTCGGCTAAAGGCGTTGATAAATAACATTTTTTTTCTTATAGCTATTACGTTGAGAGTTTCTGCTGCCTCTGTAGCGATTCTATTCAACAGATGTAGAGAGCAGGGCTGTGGGGCATTCTATCTAAGTACTCAGAGTTGACAACGCATCTTTAGAGTTTGTTTGAAGTGTTTGCAAGTGTTCAAAGGCAAATAATAGGTCCGTGCCACCAGCTCGGTTGTAACTTGAATGTTCAATAAAATATTTTTATACCTATACTTACCCAAAGACGATACAAAATGGAAATATCTCGAAAAGCACAGAAGCGCTTATAGGTAGGTGTTTTTCTTCCCTCGTCATTGCTAGTGATGCTAACGTGAACGCCCTGTTGTCGAAGGTCAGCTGAAAGGTGACGTGAACTGTGTCGAAGAGCAACTCCTCTCTAACCAACTCTATTCGCATCTCCTTGTGGTAAAAGTGACGAGCTACCTAGAAGAAAACAATTTTTAGAACCAACTATGTTTCACAATGATTTCTTATATTTACGTGAATACTACAAATTCAATGAAACGAATTATAATTTAATCTAGTTTAATTTTTAATTTCCGACGTTTCGAGCAAGAATGCAACGCCTGACAAAACTAGTATTTTAGAAGAGTCCAGACTCTTGGTTGTTGTAGATTTGGAATCTTACGTTAGTTGTAAGACAACCTTTCCACTTTAGCCCACGACTGTAAAGCCTTAGTACATGCATTAATCTCATCACGTCGTGCATTCGTCCCACACGATCAAAGCACTGCTTCTATAGAGCACAACGATCACTATCCGCGCTAATGTTGTATTTAGGCGTTTCCTCACTCGGAATGTTCAGCGGAAGTTTGAACATTGAATCAACATTCCACGTGGTAGAGCCATGGTGTAACTATATTACTGGTATAATTGTAGTACGAATGGATCGGCTGGACCGGGGAAGGACCACGCTCTCACAGACTACCAGCGTAAAATAGCAGCTTAACGCTGCTGTGTTTAGTTTGGTGAGTGTAGAGAACCGAGGACCCTTTTTACTGGAAACGAGGCATTCCATCTTAGTCCTCACGGATGACAGCGCATCTGCATTTTGATTCGCAATCGAGGCTACATGTAGATTCCCATGGGCTACAGCAACTTCTTACTATCAAGAGGACTCCTATAAAAAAATAACAGTCCTTTCACCGCTGCAAAAGTAACGACTAATGCGATATTTCTGTTTTTGCACAAATATGCCAGCAGCTATTTTATCAGATATACTACTATACTATATACTACGTGTCTTAAAATGTTGTTCAATGTTTGTATTTGATCTGGTAATCGCTAAGGTTTTGTTTGGGCAACATAAACCGCCAAGCTACTCTCAGAGAGTACCAGGAGAAAATCAGTGGTTAACTCTCCTGTTCGGAGCGATGCGGGCATGACATAATTAGATAGCTATTAGAGAAAACTTTAGCCGTGGTAGCTCAGATGGTTAGCGCTCGCTGTAAATATGAAATTGTTAATTGCAATTTTAAGTGTTGATTTACCATGTGCTCGGCGGTGAAGGAAAACATCGTGAGGAAACCTGCATGTCTGACAAATAAGGAAAAAAATACTTCGAAGACATGTGAAGTTCGCCAACACGCATTGGGGCCAGCGCGGCAGACACTTCCTTGTCCTGAAACCCTCTCAGAAATGAGGGGAGGCCTCTGCCCAGCAGTGGGACGTATACAGACTGTAACTTTACTTTTTAGAGAAAACTTTGAGAAAGCTTTCTCAATAAGTTTAGCGCTTCGTTAAATCATATAATCGTTGGCCTGTGTTTTCTCCTGACACCTTTGAGCAATATCTTCTGATGAAGCAATTGTGTGCTAATCATGGTGATAACGAGCCTTCTTAACTTAGCGAATGAGTTGCATAATAAACATGTCCCATTGTAGCCTCCCAGTGGCCATCCGTGCAATGTCGGCGACTAATCAAATCATCCCTACGGGTGCCGTAAAGGCGACAAACGAAAACTGAAACAGGAAAAAACTTTGGCTGCCACGCGAATTCGCCTGACATACACACGTGGCAAATATAAGGCAATCTTGTTTATGGCAATCACTTTTATACGTGGTAGAGCCATGTTGCAGTTATATTAGTAGTATAGTTGTAGCACGAATGGGTCGGCTCGACCGGAGAAGGACCACGCTCTTACAGAATTCCAGCCTAAAACAGTTGCTTAATGCTGCTGTGTTTCATATAGTGAGTGTAGAAAACGGGAGACCCTTTTTATTGGAAACGAGGTATTTTGATTCGTAACCGAGGATAGATGTACCTAGATGTCTATGGGCCACAGCAACCACTTACCATCAAATGGACTGAGAGCTCGTTTGTCACCCTATTGTATAAAAAACAACCTCCCATAGTTTGTTTTTTATAGAATAGGATATAGAATAGGAGGCCTATGTTCAGTATTGGATTTTTGACAAGCTACAACGATGAGTGAATATTTTACGAGTTGATTATACCGCCATCTTTTGGAGGCCATGAGATCTTCCTCATGTTTTTAAATTCAAATGATAATTGTTTTTATATTATTGGTATTACTCAATTATTATATGATATCTTTGTCATTTTCTACTTTAAGTACCTATAGTTTCTTAACTTAGTCGGTTTGTCATTTATATACTTATATACTGTCACGCTTGTTACTCAGAGAGGTAAGCAGAGACTACGAACTTCCATTTTTAAAGGTTAACATTTAATATGTTATGTAAGCTTCGCTTGGGTGATATCTGGATTTTACAACAGCGCCATCTACCGTAACTGTAACTATGCCGTATCTACGCCTGTAACTTTCGCGGAAGTGCAAGCAATAAGTTGACAAAGTTTTACCGCAATCTGATCAACGGTATGGCAGCGCATAAAATACGAACAAATAAAAAATAATTTTTATATAATAAGATATATTTACATGTATAATTTTATATTTATATGCAATAGTTTTTATTTCGTAGTATAGCTTACACAATTTCAACACTGGTGTTCATCGGGGGCGTAGCTCAGATGGTAGAGCGCTCGCTTAGCATGCGAGAGGTACCGGGATCGATACCCGGCGCCTCCAGGGATTCTCTTTTTTATATTTTAGACACTGCGGTTGACCGGTTGTTGCGGTTTAATTCGTTTCACACATTTTTATTAATGGACAAAAAGTCCATAGCTGGCCCGACACCTATTTCCACTACACTATATTTGTCAACGCTGGGCAGCTGGATCTGCGGTTGCCAGCATTTTTTTGACTTCCCGCTATGAAAATCAATGACCTTTTTTTAAAATCGGGAAGTTATTTTTTTCACCCAAGTTTTAGAAAATCGACTTTTCATCAGATCACGACGTTTCGGGGCCCTAGGAAACTATTGTGGCTATTTTTACCTCAAAATTTTGAGTATTTTTAATTTTCAAAAAGTGGTTTTCTTAGAATTACTTCGACTCTTTTTTTCGTGAATTCTATAATCTAATCAGCTTTTCTACTCAAGAAACAACGTCGATTGCTGTGAACGGCATCAAAATCGGTTGATTCGTTCGAGAGATATCGTGATCGGATTAAATCTAGAAAAAGTGTTTTTCAAACTATATAACTTGAAAAACTTTCGTCAAATCATTTTTTTTTTTGTTATAAATGTTTTCGTTAAACTCAAAAAACTGTGTCAGTTGTCGCAAACTGCATCAAAATTAAAAAGCTCGAAGGGCTCAAAAAAGATGAAATTTGAAGCGCTTTTGAAATTAGGGGAAAGTTGCAGGGATGGCCTATATGGTGAACCGAATTTTTTTATAGTTGTACCTACTTGAACTTAATTCCTCGGTCGCCTCTTACTACGAAGAAATCGGAAAGTTGTTGTTTTCGCCCAGGTTTTTGAAATATCTCATCAGATCTCAACGATTCGACGCGCGTCACAGAACGATGTAGGGTAGGGGATATTTTTACATAGCGTAACGCGCTGCTGTGTGCTACTCTATTGATTTCCATATATTTTTACTTCGCTCGAACCTAAGATGTTTTTCAAAGTCCTTTATACGTCTTTGGCTCGAACCAAATATTATAGTAGTTATTTTAAACCGCGTAGTGGCGGTGAAGAATGTCCAATAGCCTATATCGTCCCGAGGGTAAGAGGCGATAGAGGGAAAATGATACAGGAGATGGGTAGCAGCACCTTCTTAATAACAACTCAAAGTAATAAAAAACTGCGGTTGTCAACCGCTTGCCAAGCGTGGCAACTATGGCAAAATCCTGCCATGAGGCAATCTATGAGGGAGGCCTATGTTCAGCTGTGGACTTTTATAGGCTTTAATTGATAATGTATGGATGGACTTTGGTCTGAAGGTATCACAGTCAAAATGACTGATTTGTATGTTTCAAATGTTTCTTTCTATTATTTAAATTGCTGACCACGAAATAAATATTTGTTTTTCAGAAATGTAAAATAATCCTTAGGGCTCAGATCAGGACCGTTCGGAAGCTGATCCATCAACTCGAGCTCGCATTATTGTGATCGAGGATTATGCGACGTTTCGGGCTACCTCTACAAAGTTCAGTTATTATTTCCGGTAAACAAACCGTTGTGTACTTATCACGTTATCAGCAGTAACCATTATTTGTTCCTGTAATAAAATTGTAGCAAACATATTCCGTTTTCGAGAGAAAGGAAACGACCATGAATGAACAACTTTCGTTGGCTTGATTGACGGTCTGCGAAAATCAAAATAGCTAATTGATCTTTCTTTCTGGTTTATATGAATAAATCCATTCCTCGTCATCTGAAACGATGTTGATGAATAGTTTTAGTTGCAGAGTAGACCGGTAACCCAAATGGAAACCAGCATTCCGACCATAGATAATAACAATATATTTCTGACAATCAAAACATCATGTAAAATAGTTTGAATTTCAGACAAAACAATACTTATAGATGTCGGTTTTCCTTATAATTTAGCGCACAGGCGTTTTTGGCAGACTTGTGGAAGGTAAGGTGAGAAAGGCATGCCCACATTGAAATTCGGAATACCATCAACGATATAATATATATTGTAGTTTTGCTAGGTACTTCACTACTTTAAATGGAAACATGATTAACAAGATATTGTTTTTGAGACACCCTCGATGAACTCTCATGAAAAAAAAACTAGCTGACTAAAAAGTAGGTATTTTTGAGCCGATCATTTTGGTTAGACCCTCAGTAAAAAAAAACTATTAACAATTTTTAAACAATCCATTCGCACAAGATAATTACGTGCATAGTTAATTATATATTTCAATATAATGGCTCTACCACGTAAAAAAATTGATTTAATTTTAACCTGTGAATTTGTAGAAATCTTTTTGAAAAATTTCATAGTAATATTTAAGGTTAATTTTACAAGCTTTTTAATTTAATGTTCACGTTTAACAATGTATTTAAAATATCAAAGTAAAATAAATTAAGACTATTATACGAATGATAAATTGCAATCGAATGCTTCTGTGATTTCAAGTTTTAACCATCCAAAGTTATAGATAAGGGTGTCACCTTTATCTATTTATTTATTTATTTTATTTTATTGAGAAAACCAACAGCTTTACAAATTATATATCTTATAACTATGTGTAATGTAGCAATGCCAATCTATTTTCGAGATGTTTTCGCTGTTAGTCTATGTGACAGCTTCATCTGACTCATACATCTGGCCTTACAGGCCGCGAGCTAATTAAGTAATGCCAATAACAGGTTTCCCTTAAATTAACAAATGGCACTGAAACAATCAAACTTTGTTAGTGCTAAAGTTAACTCTATAAATATCTATAACTTTGGATAGTTAAAACGAGCACAAAGTCTAACTGATGGTAAGTAGATGCTGTAGCCCATATGCATCTATATCTTGAACTATTAATTAAGAATCGAGATGATATAATAGAGAATAGAAGTTCAGTGTGGCGGCGCTGTCGTCGCGCCACAAGCGAAATACACCGAAGCCTAAATCACGCTATCAACATTCCGAATCATAAACAGTATATATAGGATATCTCCGAACTATCACACATTGCGCCCTCCTTTCTGCCAAGGAGGGTCGCGTTCGTATACGGCTTAGAGATCTCCAGTCAGATCGTTAAGCCATTTCCTAAAAGGTGGTGTTTAGTGGGTAAAAGTCGCCACATAACCACGCAGCCGGCTGCGTGGTATGCTATGAGCATTCACCACCTCCCTCCCCCGCTTTCCGGAGGGTTGCCCATATTTGCTTCGGGCGCAAAAAAAAAAAAAAAAAAAACTATCACACGGAGTGTTGGCCGCTCCCCGGGCAGAACACCTTGCCCGGCGGGAGATCTCCCCTTTTCCTACTTCGGCCACAGTGGTGACTAACCGACGTGATCTGAACACGGCAACCAAACAGAGCAGGGGGGTGATGTGGCGGCGCTGTCGTCGCGCCACAAGCGAAATACACCGAAGCCTAAATCACGCTATCAACATTCCGAATCATAAACAGTATATATAGAATATCTCCGAACTATCACACGGAGTGTTGGCCGCTCCCCCGGGCAGAACACCTTGCCCGGCGGGAGATCTCCCCTTTTCCTACTTCGGCCACATTCAGAATCTACTGAATTACGAATCAAAATGCAGATGCGTTGTCACCACTGAGGACTATGATGGAATGTCTCGTTTTCAGTAAAACGATCTCCGGTCCTCTACACTCACCATACGGTACACAGCATCCGCTTTTATTCTGTGAGAGCGTGGTGGTCCTTTCCCGGTCGAGCCGACCCCTTCTTTCTACAACTATGGTATAGCTGCAGCATGGCTTTACCACGCAAAGTAAGTATAACTTCGTTAAATATATGTAAATATATATATATATATATATATATATATATATATATATATATATATATATATATATATAAAATTAATGTATATGTATAAAATTATTGTGAAAGTATTAAATACAGACGCATACAAATTAGTTATTTAGATTGCTGACACGTTATAACGACCGATGGATGCCGTAAAAACAATTTAAACGTCCTGAATTTTTTGAAACTTGTACACATCGACTCGCGCACTTAGTGTTTGGAGTATGGGCAAGCTTCGAAGTATTGCTTGACTTTCTTAGATGTATATAAATTTTAAATTCTACTACTTAAGACTAGTGATGACGATGTATGGAAACAATCACCTTACCTCCCTTATTTGACCCATCGCATAATATACAAATCCTCTTCGCTTTGATCTATAATGTAGGGTCAGTCCATGTCTCGTTTCATTTTCACATATAAAACTCGGTGCTCTCATCCTTGGGTAACTGAACTTGAGATATTCGTGTAGATTGTCCAAGCCGTTTAGAAAGTCTCTCATATGTCTGCCCAAAACCGAAAGTACTCTATCGTAACCGTATTGGGACACAAAACCGACGAAGTAGACTCCCATTTGATCCATGAACTCTCGTTCGGTAATGCCCAATACCTGAAAGTAAATAATAAAAGTTAAACGCCTGGTATTTTAATATTTGCAATCATGCGAGTTATTAATATTGCAACTTTAAAAAATGTTTTAAAAAGTGTTTGTAAAATAAAATTAAATAAAAAACAACCTTAGTTGTTTTAAATTGGAAAATTGAAATAATAACTTTTTATATTTTAATTACCAAACTGCGGATCTGCAGATTAAAAATATAATGGATAAAAATATGCTTTCCCTTTTTAGTGTGAAACATTTTGATTTTGAGATTTTCAGATAGAGATTTGTTGAAAAGTCAATAGTCCCGCTGGGTTTCTTGCTGGTTCTTCCCAGGGCAGAGGTGTTTTTTGCGAACCAGTGGTAAATGAGAAAAGTGACTTTCAATAACTATTGTTTACAATCTATATTGAATAAAAAAGTCTCTGTCTCTGTTTAATGATTTAAATAATTGACTTTTAAAACAAATACATTAGTTGATAATTTTTATAAAATTACATCTCTCATATTATAATGATATATAATATTTTATCTTAATAAAAACCAAAAATTGAAATTATCGATAAGTTCTATTCTCAGCAGTATATTTAAGGTTAAGAACGCTGGCTGGCTATCTATAGATGACAAAAGAATCTGATTTCGGTTTTGTATAATAATGTATTTCATATAATTTATACCATATTAAATGTATAACTGTTAAAATTATATATCTTAGTATTTCATCACTTTCAGCGCAGGGGGTGTAACTCAGTGGTAGAGTGTCTGCTTCGCATGCTGAAAGTCCTGGGTTCAAATCCCAGCACCTCCAAAGTTCATTTTTACAAATTTTTAGTGATGTTTTTTTTATCTTTCTATCAATACAGCTTAACGAAAGCCTATTTCAAAGTCAACTCTTACAACAACCACGGGTTTCGGTACGAAATATGAATCAGTGATTCTAACACCGTCATTGAATAAAAAAATAAAAATGTAATAATTGATACGAAATAAAAATATTATTATAAAAATATATATAATACAACTTATTTGTAAGTAATTCTTCGTTATTATTTGTAAGATTTAAATTTTTTTTTAAATGATTCGTACATAATATTATATTTGTAATACTGTTTAATAATTTAAGTAGTACACGAATTTTATCCCAAAATGGGAGTTTTCATCAAAGATTTCATTCTTAAATTTATATTATATTAAGTACAAAATTAAATTTATATTATATTATACAACCAGTATTTGAACGTATAGAAATACACTTTATTCCAGAAAATTAGACCGTAAGAAAATTTTTAACGAATAATATTAGTATAATAATACCGTGTATTATATTTTTTTACAAAAAAGTTCGTGGCCCATGAGGGGATCGAACCCGCGACCTTCGCGTTATTAGCACGACGCTCTAACCAACTGAGCTAATGGGCCGTCGACGTAGAGTTTAAAATTTTATATCAAATATGCACTTAAGTATATTATGATAAGTTAATTAACAGTTAAACTATTAATGGAACTACATAGTACGTTCAAGTTTATTATCAACATGTTAGATGAAAATTGCCAGAGCTAAAACGACTCCTTATAAATGTTTCTTCATGTACTCTGATATGTATCCTTACACGCGACAATGTCTAGACACAATTACACTATGAATGTTTAATGTTTAGTATTATTTCTGGAAATGAATTATAATAAAAAAATATAATATCGCAAAAATAATGTATTGCTATTATTTAGGTCTATTAATTTTTCTGTGTTTTAATGTATTCAAATAACACATTTAGCAAAAGCGCCATCTAGTATCAAAAGAAACAATTTTGAATTTAAAAAAAAAAGCTACTAAGGGAATCTATCATTTTGTTCGTCACAACATTGCGCGTTAAACAGAAGAAACAGGCAGAAAAAACTTATGCCTTCATACGTATATGACAGTATAATAACCATGTCGTTTACGTCAGTCGGGAATTACTAAGAGCGGCGGTGAGGAGTGTTACGTGCAGTCAATACTACCACAAAAGGTGGACGAGTATGGCAAATCCTACCATGGGACGGACAAGGTTCACTTGGATTGATAACAAAGAACTTTTTTTCATGTCATCAACGTTTAATTCCTTCAATTGAAATCTTTTAATATATTATCATTTAAGTTATTAATTTTAAAGATAATCTTTCAGCGTATTTTACCCGAAAAATTATCTTCTAGGTCTCACCTTTGGAGGGTATGTGGTGGTATATTTTTAGAATCTTACAATTTCTCTCTCTCTAAATTCTATATTATTAGGTATAGTTATATAGTTAGGCTATATACTAAATAGGTACTGTAAACCCTACTTGTTTGTTTATCTCGGTAGTTTGGGCATACGACCGTAAAAAACCAATTCTTCATTTTCTCGCATCCCGAATAATATCTTTAAAATGACTACGAAATTTCATTTTTTATTGGAGTGAAAACTTCTTTAGAATCGTGATTTGAAACTCGGTGAAACGAAAAAGCGTTACTAAAAAGAGACAAACATATATTTAAAAAAGATTTCCACGTAGCTATTTACTCATCAAGATATCTATGGAACCATAAGGCCTACTAGAGACTTGAAATTTGGTAGGAATATTCCTTTCGCCGAGTAGAGGTCAGCTCAGAACGAATTTTACGAATAACCCAACCGCAATAGTGGTTGCAGGTTCGTTAATTAAAAAAATAACATTTTCAAACTATAGCTCTTCTAGGTATAAAATTTGGCCAGAATATTCTTTTTGTATATGTTTAAATGGGTCCCTAAATGGTTTGGGTTCACGATTGAAGCTGGTAGGTGGCGCTGTTGTCGATATCCAGAAATCACCGAATCGCTAGTATTACATGTAGTTCGTGTACCCCTACGTGCAACTTTCAAGTCCAAATACTCAATACTTCTACTGAGTAGGTACACGTGCAAACTATAAACATCTATATTGATGTTTTACTCCTTGTTATTTCTTTATTACTTTCAAGGTATTCTATAAATATGTGTTCATAAATATTTAGTTAATAAATTTCTTTCCGACATAATACATTGAGTATTTCTTATTATGTTTTACAACAGGTTTTCACAGGTAACATAATCACTTTATTTTACTTACTAGTGCTTCTCATTTCCCTTAGAATTTTTTTCATTGTACTTATTTTACCGTGTATAATTTGGATATATGGAATAATTTTTACAAATATTTGATAATCAAAAGTTTAAGATAGTTACTGTTCTTGCAATTCTTCTTCTTCATATACGTAGTTCTTCATAATATAGAGATGAAATGCCACATCTTGCGTTCACCAAATGTCACTAGTTGACACCATAGAGTAGAGTAAAACGAGTAAAATACACAGAAAGTTGACATTGTGGTAAAGATTTTTCTTACATAATGCTGTTTCATTGAGAACTTTTAAATAAGTCTTTCAGTTTCTAGAGTATTATATTAATACCATCGATATATATGTACTACGCACTAGATTTGGCATTCCGAACACTCACTATGTTCAACTGAACTGTACTGCAATCCGTACACCTGTTAATGTGGCTTCGATTTTGATATTCCTGCGGTGCTAATAATAATTTTATATTAAATTAGCACATATGCAAAATAAACGAATATCAAAAAAATGTACTTGATTAACAATACAATCTAAATTTACTTATGACAATTTTCGCGCGTTTATATCAACTGCCCATGCGCGACTCTAATGTGCGGATACAGAGCAGTGCACACTTTTTGTTTGGAATAGCTTCTCTTATCTCAGTACATATAACTCAATGATTAATACACAATAACAATGCTTTACTCTTTAAATTTTTTGCATAATTTTTTACACTAGGTATAACCGCTGACTTTTTTAAAACTCTACTTTTATTGATATCTATGGTTTGGTTGATTTGTTTTTAACCTATTTTAAATATAACTACGTAGTAGTACAGAAAGAAACATGAACCTTAACATTTTTCAAACAAATTAACTTCCTCCCAATGAAATTTGTCAAATATTACACCTCATTTGTAAGTAGCGCCGCCCTGGTAGCGGAAAAAGATAGCATTAGCAGGTGGATTATCGATTTCTACTACTAACGCCATCTAACAAAGCCATGACATGACATTATTTTTGGTGTTTCCTTATAAACTTATAATGGCCCCTTCCGCGTACTTGTGGGTCCTACGTAGAAACCATTGATCTTACTTTTTCACTTGCTTTTGATTTTATCAATAAATCATTTCAACTTATATGTACATTAAAGTACAGACAAGTGATTCCATGTTATCTTGTGTTTATGACCGTACTTGTAATATTGTAATCAATCGTGTAATATTGTAATATAACATACGAAGATTTACAATTTATGTTTGATAAGGTTGGACTTCGAAAAAAAAAGATTGATGTTGTAAAGCGGTTCAATATCGATTCTTGATATTTCACTGACCAACGAAGATCTGGGTGAGATACTTCGATTAAGTATAATCATTGATCGAAGGTGAGATATAAAGATATTTATTTTACGTAGACACAATCCGGAGCAAACTTTTTCACTACGTATTCTTATATATTTTTTATAGAATAAGGGTGACAAACGAGCAAACAGTCCACTCGATGATAAGTGGATGCTGTGGTCCATAGATAGGTATCTACGTTTATCCTCGATTAAGAATCAAAACGCAGATACGTCACACGATGTCACCCCTGAGGACAAAAATGGATTACCTCGTTTCCAGTGAAAAAGGGTATCCGTATCTCCACACTCACCATACGAAACACAGCATTAAGCTGCTATTTTACATAGTAGAATTTTATTATAGTGAATTTACCGCGTAACAAAGTAAGGTAACGGGCTGGTTGATATAAGAGTTAATAAAAGTACGCACTAAGGCATGCTTCTACAGCTTCATCGAACTGGGCGCACGCGATCTAAAGAAAGGTGTACTGGTGATGATAATGATGATGGCTGTAGTATGATTATGATGACTCAGTTTATGACTGAACGTCAGGTCTCGGAAACGGTGTTTTCTACTTATAAGTGAGTGTAAAGACGAGTTATCTTCGGCGCTCAGTTACTGCAACAAAAGAAGCTGTATATATAATGGTAGTTATATATTTACGGTAAGACGAATACTATTAAACTGTAAAGCTTACATAAATTAAAACATAATTTTAAGAGCTAACGTACACACCTATTTTATAATCCCTTTAATCCGAATTAAGGTCGAGTTTGTCAGTCTGAGCAACTTTGCTTTAAAATCCACTGTATAAATTTTTAAGAATCTAACTTTTACTAAATATTATCTACCTCAAACGGTAATTCTAAATTTATTTCCTCTGACGAAAAGGTCAAAGTACTCTCCAGTGAATTGCAGGTTTTGATTCAGGCTTTTACTGATAATTTAGAATAATATTTTGTACCTGATCGTTAAAATAAATGAACGATTTTAATACGGAGGTTAAGATTATAAGCGATAATAACTTGTTAGTTAAGGGTGCAAAATTAAAATTCATGGTGAAAAGCTAAGTCCTTAGCGGTCAGCCGCCGTAGAGTCTACATTACCTGAAGATGCCTCGTGTAGAGGCGAAACACGTGTCGTATTATAGTCGATGGTGTGTCTTGCCTGGAATAGTGGTGCTGGGACTAGTGGTGACGGAGTTAGTGCATGCAATTGAGGGAGGGCGGGAGGTGCTCTTCAATCCAGGTAAGACACATCATTGTATTTGTTTAGAGGAAGGTTGCGAAGAAATTTATTTTTTTATTTTTTATTATAATGGATTTCCACAAAGTAACGCCTGATTCTATCAATTATCTTAAAATTCATGGGTTTCAAATTATTTTTATTTATTTATTTCTGAAACTTACAACTATCATTACAGGATTACCTAATGCGACAGTGTAGCTGTCTAACTGATTTGTGTTGATTATTTAATTTTTGTAACAAATTACAAACAATGGTGTCTTGATGCATTCACTCAGAGTACAACAAAATAGGTCAGTCTCTCAAGCTATCAAGTTGAGCGTGCGGAGTGCGCGCGTTAGAGGTGCCTCACTCAGAAGGTTGGTGCGACCTCGCGGCTCCACCAACAGTCGCGGCTGCCGTCGGCGCCACACATACCTTTCATGAATACATAGATTAAACTGCCCTAATATTTCAGCAAATCATACAATTACTATCGTGGAAAACACCAAATAACCAAGCATTTTGTTACATTGCTTTTGACGAAAAGGTCCAAGTAGTGCCTGATGAATTGCAGATTTTGACTAAAATTTTTAAATCCGAAAAATCGGTAACATACCTACATAAAGAAGAAACGCGACTAATATAGGAACTTCTCGTTTTTTCAGTCAGTTAGAAAAAATAACTTAGTAATTAGTAAAAGTCAACTTGAAGAACTAAAAAGAGTAAAATGAGATCAAATTTTGAAGTTGGTGCTAAGACAGAATAATTAAGCCCTTAAGAATAAAAAAAAATCAGTTAATTATGTTTAACTTTTTGATAAGACTAAGGAATGGCACAATCTCAGTGTCACCTTAATGTCACTTAAACACTTAGTAAAATAAGGGTTGAAGACTTTAATTTTATTGATTAAAACTACTTTTACGGATTTTATCGCGTTTATTTTTACTTTTTATTTACTTTTATTTTTAATTCCCGACGTTTCGGGCGCTTTCCAGCACCCATGGTCGGACTGGGGGACTGAGATGACTGACGTCCCGATGTCGTTGTTAAACCCGGAGTACCTTCAGCTTTTTTAATTTATTAGTTTTATTGTTAGCATACATTAAACATACATACATAAAATCGTTGTCCCTTATTAGCCAGCCATATTTATATTTCTGTGGATTTTTTTTCCAAATTTATATCGACTACTCCAGTATAAGTTATTTAATAAAAATAGAATCGCCATATTCGATCCACAACCGACGAAGATATCCCGAAACACACAAACAAAATATAGGTACATACCTACATCAAATTCAACATCCTTGTTTTGAAATCTGCTAAAAATAAAGCGTATTGTTTCTTCTATATTTCAGTTATTCGTCTACTTTTATATTTTATATTTTGCTTAATATCATCTTTTATTTTTTAATTTTTATCTGCATGTTACGTTTTAATTTTGGGGTTTTTAATTTTTAATAATATGGGAAAATAGCACAGACTTTTCTGATCTTTGAACCTTAGTAAAGTAAAGTAAAGTTCGCTTGCTGGCTCCGGTAGGTGAGTAGTGGTAAATCAGCACTTAAAATTGAATTACATTTCTTGTTCTTGAACCTTACAAAAAACTAATTCGAATAATATTTATCATACAAAATACTGATAGCTGCAAACCATACTTCGTCACACATAAAATATTCACTTTACCGCGAATATACATTTTGGAAATATGCAAATTCATTAAAAAATACCCAGAATTTTATATCAAACGAGGAGAAAGCAATATCATATACCAACTAGGTACGCCATAAAGAAAAACTGACTATACCCATATCTCGCCCTAAACTAAAAGGTCTGTTCGCCATGTCTAGTATAAGTTTTTTTAACAAACTCCCAGACTCAATAAAAATATAGAAAAAGACACTATTTTTATAAATAAACTAAAGCTAAAACTAAATGTTTACAAATTAAAAATGAACTAATTTTTAATTTGTAAACATTACTACACACTGTAAGAATACCTAAATGATAAATTTTTAATGCCTACCTATGTGTTTCAATTCTATTTTATCTTAAAAATACCTACAGTTACAGGTGCAATAATTACATAGTGTATTTATTACTATTGTTTCATTATTCCCTCCTCTCTCTTACTTAAAGGGCCCTGCAGGGCCCATAATGATCTCATAGTTTTAAGTTAAAACTTAAAATGCTCTCAACACCTTAACTATAACATTATGGATGCAATAAATAATATGAATAATCTGTTCTATACATAGAATCATCAAGCATCAGACTCAAAGTTTGAATTTCTAAATATATCTGATCGAAAAATATACGTGACGATCTTCACGTAAGGAGAACTACAATTCACGTGCCATTTTATTAATAAATGTCTATTTGAATCTTCTCCAAATAGTGTCTAGTCACAAAATTTTAAACGAATCATTGAAATAACCTTTATTGGATAGTATACCCCAGTAATAAATTATTGAAAATTATGATATATTGAAAATATTTAAGTAATTTTGTTATATACGTTACAGATACTCGTGTATGGTTAATTTGATTTGTATTCTGACAGCCTATTTAAAAGTGCAATAATTAAATTCTGTGACGAAGTCTGTTTGAAAATTTTCTTTTTACGTCTCATTCGGAAAAAGTAGAAACGATAAAAAAAGAAACGATAAAGCTTGAGTGCAGAGTGCATTTAAAGATTAAAATGCAGGTCATTCTCTCGAACGTTGTCGAATTTCCTATCCACTGCAATTTCGATAAGTATGACAGTATTGCAGAAACCTTAGCCTACTTTTTTGTTTTATAAGTAAGTATTAATTTAATTTAATCTGTATATTGATAAAGTGATTAGCTAAAAATTTTATACCTCTTGTGCTTTCTTCGCTAGTCTAGTGATGAGGTTCTCTGGGTAGACCTGATGAACGGAGAAGGAAGGCTGTTCCACTCCCGCTTGCCGTCTGATATCCTCCCATCTTTCTTCGCCATATGTCTGGCGGATGTATTCCGCCATGTTCTCCAGGAGCAACCCGTACATTGTGAAGTCCTGTTAAAATAAGAAAGTTAATATTATTTGTACCTTAGAGATCCTTATGACATCAAAAGAAAACAAAAAAAAACACTACACATTATCACAGTATAAATAATAGTACTACGTAACATTATGGTGAATAAAATCTTTGTAATTTTTTGAATTTTAAAATCGTATAGGTATTACTTGTGGCACTGAGGCTACGCTGTTAATAATTTTCATTAATATGCAAAAGTTGTAGAAGTAAATGAAAACACCATTATTTTATTAAAATATGTAATATGGACAGATTCTGCGGTCCTTGATTTGTTTATAGATTACAAAAAAAAGCCTGTATTTGTCGTCACTTATGATTAACTATACGAAAACAGCAGCATTGTACTGCTAATTTACATAGGTATGCTGTAAGAGCGTAGTCCTTCCTTGATCGAGTAGCGTGGCTATAACACGATATATATTATGTATAAAATAATCTATTCTGCGTAGATCGGTTAAAAAAGTTGAAGGTACTCTAGGTTAAAACTGATATCAGGACGTCAGTCACCTCTGTCCATCGTGACCATGCTGGAACCCACCCGAAATGTCGGGAATTAAAAATCAAGAAATACGCGATAAAATCCGTAAAAGTAGTTTTATTCAATGTGTAGTGTTCGCGGAAATATAAGAAATCGTTACTAAATATAGTTTTGCAGATATAACTATCGATTGTATAAGTTAGATACTTATACTCTTTCTATACTTGTACTCTCTATTATACGAGTATCGACATCAAATCTAACAAGTTATTGTCTTTTTATCATTTTAGTTTAGTCTTTACCTAGTATAGCCAATTAATTCGTGCGACCGCAATAACGTGGCTATAACACGAAATATAGGTTTGTAGATACAAGTACCATTTGTATAACATGGGTAATAGGTTTGATGTCGTCTAAATAAGGATACAAGTATTACTATTATACATAGAAAAATTCTCACGTACGCCCGTTGTCATACTGTACCATCCTTGTCAAACACATCCTAAATACACAAACTCATTCACTTGTTCAACCAAAACCCCTTCCATTCTTATTCCACTCATTATTTTACATTTTTCTCTTTCAAAAAATATCACTTTTGTTTACTTGCGTTCACTTCCATACTCCATTTCTTTTGAAGATACGTCCATTATTTTAGGCATTAAAATAGCTACAATTTTCACCTCGTCCGCAAAAGACGCAAATATGACTTGTTCGTCGACGGACAAGAGACATTTGATGGCTAACTCACGCATTCTAACTCACATTCTATGACGTTCAAAGTTTCCAACCAACTGTCTATGAACACATTGATCAGCCACGGGGAAGTCAAGCAACCCTGTCTGACATCAACCGTTATGGATGCCAAACCAGTTCCTGTGTTGATCCTTACGCAAGCACTAGAGTCCTAACGAAGATAATTTTAATGCCTATATTTAGCTTCGCGCTGAATCAAAACGTGGCCAGTGTTTGCCATAAACCAACCCTTCAAATGACTTTTTAAAGTCTTAGAATGCACACCAAACTCTTCCCTTTCTTGTTTTTTCTGTCTTTTCTGGTTTTTGCCTCAAATATTTTCTGTAATTATGCGCAAAGAAGACCTGTTCCGTACCCCTTTTGTAAATCTAGCTTGCACATCCCTGATTTTTCTATCAGTTCCATCAAAACTCTTTTAGTCTCCGTTTTCTAATTAAATACTTTTCTTTTAATTGTTTTCATGTCTTAAAACAGCCTTATGTGATCTGTTGATGCTACCGCCAATTCGTCTGCTAAGCGTGAGAATAATTTGAAATTAAGGAAAGCATATTCTAAGCTATTTAATGTACACGCTGTAGTGATCATTGTTTGGTTATGAAATTATTTTAAGGCAATGCATTTTTTAAGTTTTTTTTTTATCAACAGATTTTGTAGTACTACCAGCGATGCGCCCGGGTTTTGCACGATTGATTTCTGGATCTTAACAACAGTGCCACCTACCGGGTCTAATTGTCGATATAGACCATCCAGAGACTCTAAATACACACAAAAAATTTCATTAAAATCAGTCCGTAGGAGTTCAGTCATATACACACGGACGGAAGAATTATATATATAAGATTATTTATTCTGAAACTAATATAACTTTATAGAGTAAACATCCATCTTTATACGTCTCACTGCTGAGCACAGGCCTTATATCAATACTGAGGGGTTTTTTAGACGAAGAATATATAATCCCAAAACACAGTCGTAGGGGCTAATTTATTGTTATATACGCATTGTTTGGAAAAGCGGTGCTTCCTAGTACAAGCAAATCATTTGTTTAAAAGGAAGCTCCAACCACAATTTGATGTAATAGATTAAGTTATGGAAAAAAGAATTTGATTTTGAATAATAATAGCGTCTTCCAGACCGAATTACGGTCGCGGCTGCCAGTTTCAACGGAGACTAGCCATCGCATCGGCGCAGGACAGGATTGTCGTAGTAGTAGATTGTAGTGCCTAAGTGTATGCGAAACCACAAGTACACTCTTTTTTACTTCACACTCATATTTCGATGGGACGGTAATCCGACATGCCCGGAGTGAGGTCAGGGGCAGGACCAACAGCTTTACGTATTTTCGGGGCACAGGGGTGTAACACCGCCAACATTCTGACTCCGGACTGCTACTTAGAATTTCTAGTCAGAAAAACCCAAAACCCAATAACTGATTTAGACCCGAGCCGGGATTCGAACCTGCGACCTCAAGATCATCAGTTACGTTTACGACCATTAGACCAAAAAGGCAGTTAAAACAATAAAATAAAGTAAAAATAACACGGACTTTGGAAAACATCAGATATTTAATCAGTGAATAATAGTTCTCTTTATTTCTTGGTTTGTGCTATGGACGAATGAATGCTTGCTTGAATGTGTATGTATATGTATTATAACAGTATTCCAAAACTTATCGATGTTTCTAATTACAACAAAAAGAAGGCATACAAGGATAAAAACCATAAATCCACAAAGGAAAAGAAGTTATAATTTGTTATGAAATTATATATTTGTCGTCATGCAGTGCTGTGCCGCTCGCCCCACCTTGTATTATATTGCCAGTATTATTTTCCTCAGTTTTCTGCGTGCTATCTGTTTCTTTACGCCTCCTGAATCTTACAAAACGCCTGTTAGAAATCACTAAAATGTATTAAATGTTCATAATCCCATATATTAAACTGAGGAGTATAAAATATCGGTGTTTCTTACACTTATAAAACAATGCCTCCTTCCTCTTTCTATCATCGAACAACCAGGCGGTTAGCGGGTCGCTATCACTTTGTTGTTCATATTCCACGCATTCAAACCAAACGATTGGCTCCGTCTCTCGTAATGCGTACAGCAAATAATCTACATACCAGCCTTCGTAACCGACGTCTGTCATTCAATCCGATTACTATCTGGACATCTTCAAGGCAAGAGTTAATTCCTCCAGACTTTTGTAACGTTAAGACCATCTAGTGCTTCATCATCCCTTAACACTAGACGGGATTGTAGTCAAGTGCCGGCTTAAAATAAGTTAAAAAAAACATAACACACGTAAGGTTAGAGAGAGACAAAAAAAGACTGCGTTTTAATAAATTAATTATACTTAGAATTTATAACTAAATAAAACGGTTAAGAGAAAAATCTCTTCACTAAATAAAATTGAACATAGTAATGTTAAAATCCCCTCCAAAAAGTCACTATTAACAATAATAATAAGTAAATAATCTTTGAGTGCCTTATATATATATATATATATATATATATATATATATATATATATATATATATATATATATATATATATATATATATATACTGTAATTAACGTAGTAGCTTTTGGTTTTTCTTATATTTGTAAATAATTACGTGTACTCCACGAAAAACTTATCACAGTTTGACGAGATAATTACTATGGAAATGTATCTATTTTATGGAATAAACAAAAAAAAAAATACTAATTAAGCAGTAAAACCTTGTGATTTTTTTTGTTAATTCATTAATATTACATTTCGATCTACATCAGTACGGTCTTCCATGTCTTTGAAGATGAGAGTACTTCTAAACAAGTAAACTTTTTTGTTAATTCATTAATATTACATTTCGATCTACATCAGTACGGTCTTCCATGTCTTTGAAGATGAGAGTACTTCTAAACAAGTAAACTTTTTTGTTAATTCATTAATATTACATTTCGATCTACATCAGTACGGTCTTCCATGTCTTTGAAGATGAGAGTACTTCTAAACAAGTAAACTTTTTTCCTAAATAACCACGAATAGTGTTCGTTTGTTGGTCTTGATTTTTGATCATGATTCGGATTTGTTATTTGAATATTATTATGGTATTTGAAAGAGTGGGATAGGAAAATAAGGAATGTATAGGAAAAAACAGGAGGAGAAGAGGAGAAGAAGTAATGAGTGTGGGAAAATAATATTTTGATAAATAAACGAGTCAGGAATGATCTCAATTTTTTTTTTTAATAAAACAGATGTCACGAACAAACTTACAGTTGACCTGATTGTACGTGGGTATTGCAGGCTATGTACAACTGTAGCCAACTTCAAACAAAGAAGGTGTAGCAGCCAGATTAATCAAACCTAAACGGAAATAAATAATATATACTCCGCTGCTACCATAACGCGGAAGGCGAGAATAAATAAAAAAAACATTTTATTTCCTAATTATTCTTGGCTACTGAGATACTGCGGACTGTATATAGATAATTTGACGTTCTTATAAAGAAACAAGAAGCAGCCGCAAATATCATTCAGCGCCACACCGACTTCACACGCCGCTATCGTCACGTATCCGTCGACCAATGGTGAGCCGTTTCTTCAACGCCGCAGTTCGTTTCCTCTTGCTGTTCCGGGGCTGTATTCCACACCGCCGCCGCCCGCCGACTACGCGTGCGCACCGATTTGCATGTCTTATATAGCCCGGTCCAGCGACGTAGCTTCGTGAACAACAAACAAGTCTCACGCCGGGAAA